TGTTGTTGCTGTTGTTGTTGCTGTTGTTGTGCTTGCTAACATTTGAAATGATCATGACTAATAATAATTATTAATAATATTGAACATGAGAATCATCTTTTCCAGATTGAACGAATAAACGATGATGAATCTGGTACTGTGTGCATGAGTATGCTAGAGGAAAACTTACAAGTAAGTTGCTATCATCGTCATCACTACCATCGTCATCATCATCTTCATCACCATCACCATCACCATGATCATCATCATCATGACCATCATCATGACTATCATCACCACTATCATTGTTATCATCATCAACACTACCACCATCATTATCATCATCATCCTCTTCACCATCATTATCACCACCATCATCATCACCATTATCATCATTATCATAGTCACCTTCACCATCCTCATCATTATTATCATCATCTCCATCACCACGATCATAACCATGATCATCATTGCCATCATTATCATTCATCATGGTCATCATCATTATCAACAGTAGTATCATCATCACCACCACCATCATCCTCATCATCATCAACCTTTTCTTTTTCTTTTTTAGAAATACCAGGAAGCAGGCTACACAATGTACGCAGCATTTTCTGCAGCCTCTAACGTAACCGGTATTCTTACTGACACTGTAGCCGTGGCTGAGATGTGCCATAAGTACGGTGCATTTTCTTTCTGGGACTACGCTTCAGCGGCACCATATCTTGAGATAAATATGAACCCCACACCTAATGGGTACGCTAGAAATGAGACATTATTCTTTAGTCAGATTATTTGTTGTGCTCTTTGTACATATTGCTGGGTTTCAATCAGCAGAAAGAAGTCTTTGGATCTTATTATCTGCTCCAAATGGTGGTCAAACACTGTTCACCATGTGATTTCAACCAGAAAGAATTCTATTGAAAACTTGTGATTCAGCTGATGAACATCCCTCCCTCCCCGCCCCCCACCACTAGACAGGAAATGGTGTCAAGTGAAACCCAGCAATAATGTTGATTATAGTCCTATAGATCATTATTTTTTATTTTTAGCTTGGGAATAATGTTTTCTCATTACAGAACATGTGTCATTCACTTGAGAATTGATTCTTTCTTTTGAATGTATATTCAGTGACATGTATCTTCTTATGCACAACCTTTTAACAAAGAAGTAATACTTTAGGGAATGACGCCTGGTCTGATATGGAAAAATATTACATCCAATTTATCTCAATAGCATCTTAATGGAGGAAAAGTAGTCACCTATAGACACATGATGTATACAGTCCTTTGAAAAACCTTTGAAGCTGTCTCGCTTCACAAGACTTCAACCAATGCTGTTTAAAAATATTGTTTTGCTTTTTTTTTTGTTTTTGCAAAATTTTGGAATAGAATCACTCATTATGAATGATAAAATAAAAATCATTGGATAAAAGCTGCAAATTAGGCGTAAAAAAACGTCTACGATCCGTACGATCCAGCAAATCGAAGTCCAGTCCATTCCATCCATGTACGGTTCCAAATTTTCCAAAGTAACAAAAATCTCAAAATACAGACATTGAGAAGAGGAAAACAAGTTTTAGGAGTTGGGCATATTTTTGCCATACATAAAGATTATCCATGGCCTTTCAAAAGGTGAAAATTCAGAAAAAATATTTTTGATTCAAGATCCAGTCACTGACTGAGGCCCAGTCACTTGCAATCCAATTTCAGTCACATCTAATCCATTCCAGTCACATCCAAATAACATGCAATTTATCTCAATAGCATCTTAATGGAAAAAAATTAGTCGTAAAAATCTGTAACGATCCACAGAGTCACCTATAGACACATGATGTGTACAGTCCTTAGAAAAACCTTTGCCGCTAAACCCACTTCACAGGACTTCAGCCAGTGCTGTTTAAAAGAAAATTTTTTGTTTTGCTTTTTTTTTTTTTTTTTTTTTTTTTTTTTTTTTTTTTTATTTTTTTTTTTTTCAAATTTTTGAAATAGAATCACTAGTTATGAATAATAAAATAAAAATCATTGGATAAAAGCTGCAAATTCGGCGTAAAAAAACGTGTACGATCCGTACAATTCAGCCAACCGAAGTCCAGTCCATTCCATCTATGTACGGTTCCTGATTTTCCAAAATTAAAAAACATTCAAAATTCGGGTATTTAGAAGAGGAAAACAAGTTTTAGAAGTTGGGCATGTTTTTGTTATACATTAAGACTATCCATGGCCTTTCAAAAGGTGAAAATTAAAAAATATTTTTTATTTGCTATACATTAAGATTCAGCCAACGGATATATTAAGATGAAGGCCTAAGTTAAGATGGTTTATCGATTGTGTCAGCTTATTTTTTCTACGGATATTTTAACATGCTTTTTTTTTTTTTTTTTTTTTTTTTTTTTTTTTTTTTTTTTTTTTTTTTTTTTTTGCTTTCTTAGTTATAAAGATGCTGTGTTTTTGTCTCCTCACAAGTTCGTAGGTGGACCGGGTACGCCAGGTAAGTTCCATCTCATTCTGGTAGCTTGGATAGAAATCGTCTTACTTAATCAGGCAATGTTTTCTGTGATAGAAAATGTGATGCATTTTGGTATAGCTTGGCTATAAATTGTTTTACTTCATAATGTAATGTTTTCTGTGATAGAGAATGTAATGCATTCTGGTATAGCTTGGGCATATTATATGACTCGGCGCTTGCTATCGACCCCTTGCATGTGACGTCAAAAGAGCTCAATTTGGAGAGAAAAAACAAAAGAATTTCGATCTCCTGAGAATTGCAAACCTATGGTTATCTTCAAATTAAGCTGCATTCCGTGCATTTCTATTGAGAAACATGTTAACTTTGTTCATGCTGTGTGTTTGTAATAGGTGTGCTTATCGCTAAAAAGAAGGTTTTTAAAAACCCTGTACCTGGAGGCTGTGGAGGAGGAACCGTACTTTTTGTAAGTACCATCACCATCATGATTGTTATCAAAATCCTTATCACTGACCACGATATTCCTCATCATCATCATTATGGGTCATCATCATCATCATTGTCATCATCATGTGTCATCATCATCAACATTGTGTCTTCATCATTGTGTCATCATCATCATTGTGTCATCATTATCATTATGTGTCATCATCATCATTGTGTCATCATCATCATACATTGTGTCATCATCATCATCATTATGTGTCATCATCATCATCACTGATCACCATCATCAAGTATCATCATCGTCATCTTCATTTTCACCACCGCCATCATCTCATCACCATCACTGGCAAGCGTTATCATTCTTATCATTTTCAAATCAACATCATTATCATCACTATCATGACCATCATCATCATCGTCATTGTCGTAATCATCATTGTCACCACCATCAACTTGATAGGATAATAATAATGATATTAAGTACGAATAACTGTCGTTTTTTTGTAAAACAAAAAGGTTTGGCAATCACTACTATACCCATATACATATGACTTATATTTTGCTTCCCTTTTTTGTAGGTAACAAGAGATACTCACTTGTATCTCAAGGACATCGAGACACGAGAGGAAGGAGGAACACCAGCAATAGTGGAGTCCATACGAGCTGGCCTGGTTTTCCAAATAAAGCAGGTAACTACTACTTTGCCCTTAACCCCCCACTTCAAAACGTGACGAACTAAATCCCAAATTCCTCTTTTCTGCTTCTGTAGAGTGTCACTACAAAACTCATCGAAGAAAGAGAAGAAGAACTTTGCAAGTGAGAATAATTTTCTAGTTATTGCTACCTTAGTGGACTTTTCTGCGTCCTTCCTGCTATCTGTCTGTCTGTCTGTCTTTCCATCTGTCTGTCTGTCCCGCGGTCCCTCTTTCCTATCGTCCGTTCATCTATTTTTCCATCTCTCTGGTTGTCCGTCGTTTCGTCTGTCTGTTCGTCTATTTGTCTGTCTGTTCGTTTGTCTGCCTGCCTGTCTCTCTTTCTCAGGCCCTGTTTCTGTATTTCCGTCTCTCAATTTACCTAACAAATTGAATCCATCTTTCCCCTTACCTAGGAAAGCCTTCGCAGTCTGGAATAAGAACCCCTGCTTGACTATCCTCGGTAGTCACAAAGCACGCAGGCTGCCAATCTTCTCGTTCATCGTCTATCACCAAGATAGTGGCAAACTCCTCCACCATAACTTTGTATCCACCTTACTCAACGATCTGTACGGCATCCAAGCCCGAGGAGGATGCGCATGCGCGGGACCTTATGCTTTGGTAAGCAGGCGAAACATCTTCCATCTCGTACCCTGAGCCCTAACTTCTTACTGTGCATGCTCGACAAAATAATTGAATTAGTTATTTCGTCGAGCATGCGCAGTAAGAAATAAGGCTCTGGGTACGAGATTGAGACATCATAGATAAAACGTGTGACGTCACTTTCTGTTAATATTGCAGTAGTTCATTTGTCAAAAGTCTTCGTACTTTTGATCTTTCTACTTCCGGTCCTAAACCTGACGTGTTGTCATTTCCTGTTTTAATAGGATTTACTTGGCGTGAGTGACGATCTTGCGCGGAAGTTCACATGGTTTTTTGAAGACCACCAGGGGTAAGAATAACCGAGAAACAAACGGGAGAGACTAGGTACTAATCTGCTCCTCGGAGACGAAGCGTTCGGGTGGACGGGATTATTAATTGGTTACACCATGTCGAGCAAAAACAGCAAGTTCTAAACATGTTTAAAGAAAAAAAWTTTTTTCATTTTAGTTTTTTCCTATCTTCAAATTCATCATTGATTTCAAGCCTTCAGTATCCTTAACACTGGTTATCTTCTACTGTCGTTCTATTCTAACCACTCGAGTTTGTCAAACAATCAGATTACGAATCGAAAACAATAGAATTCGCGTTACATGTATTGAAAGTCTATAAAAGCTATTCAAGGAGATGAAATGACGAAAGGGAAAGAAAAAATAAAAATATATTTACACAAAAAATAAAATTTAAAAAAATGTACTCGAGTGTTCGCGGTTATTAGAGTAGAACGACAGTAATCCTTATGAGAACAGCTTTTGCTTACTCAACTTGCTTTCTCAGTAGTTTGTCTCTTTATTGATATATATGCTTTTTGTTTGAACTATAGAGAACAAGTGGAAGAAGAATGCCGGCAACCATTGGAAATCATGAAGTAAGTACATATCACACCAAAGAGTTCACCTTGGTTACTATAGCAATGGAATTGGTTGCCATGTTGATCCTAATGGTCCGTCATTCTTTCCAGGCCTGGTTTTGCTCGTATTAACCTACCATACTTCATGAGTGACGAGACCGTGCATTTCGTTCTCGAGGCAGTAGACATGGTAGCAACACATGGATGGAAGCTCCTACCACAGGTTGGTAGTCTAGACACTAGAGACCTTTAGCAAGACGTTCTTGCTAGGTGCCGCAAACTGGCCTCAAACTGCAGTTCGACGTCAGGCGTTTTCCGTCAAACTTCGACATTTAGCAAGGCGTCATAACGAAGTTGCCATATTGATTTTCATTGATGTTGAATGTTTTTCCGTGTTTACGGGCGTGCTTCTGGGCCTGATCCCTAACGGTTAGCGGTAAACTCACTGGGATTGGTGCGACTCCATGTCGCAAAGGATTGTGGAGGAAATTTTCAGTTCCAAATCAAAAAGCTATTGCACCGCGCCTCATTTTAAAAGTTTAAAAACTAGAGTAGTACAAAAGCGTTCTTTGATAAACTTTTAAGAGGGTTGTTTCCTCGAAATCGCAATAAATTAATATTATCAATTTAATTATTTTTATTTTTATTTTTGGTTTTCAGTACACTTTTGACCCAAAGACTGGATCATGGTGCCATCGCAATCATTCCGAAGAGCCTTCGTTTAGTCTCCATGACATCACATATGATGACGATGGCATGCACGTGACCCATAAGGCGTCGCCTCCTTACGCCCTTCCCATCTATACTTTTGAGGTATAGAAATATTTATTTATATATCTTTTATTTTTTATCACGCAATGTTTTAACTTTTTTATGTTTTTGTTTGTTTGTTTGTTCAAAAACAGACAATTGCAAAAGAAGCAAGCAAAACATTTGAAGAAGCGGCTGAAATAAACAACGTAAGATACTTTTATTTCTACAAACAGTATATTTTTAATAGTATACGTTAATATTTTGAGCCTGACAAAGCGACTTGTCTTTCTTTGGAAGAGACAGAAAGGGAAATTACATTTCTGTTTTAAAACTATCCTTTTTTTTATATTTTCAGGAAATTTCGACTGTCGATGATGAAGTAATTCATTTCTCTGATAATGACAAAGAAAAGCTTCTCTGGTTTCTCCAACCACAAGAAGCCCAGATCTTTCTGGCCACAGAATCTTTGAAATATAAACCGTTTAAAAGAACAAAATTGCCATTCAAACCAAGAAAACTCACTAGAAATTATTCAAAATCGGAACTGAAGAAACGGCGAACTTTGTTGAGGAGTATGTCTGAAACTATTCCTGAAGACGAGGACAGTAAGTAATCCATCCCTCCCTATCTCCATCAAACCCACCATCCGTCTGTCCGTCCGTCCGTCCCTGCCACCACCCATTCATCCATCCACCCACCCATCCACCCATCAACCCACCCACCCATCCATCCAACCATCCACCCACCTAACTATCCACTCATCCATCTCTTTCTTCATCCACCCATTCATCCATCCATCCATCTCTTTCTTCATCCATCCATCAACTTATCCACCCATCCATCTCTTTCTTCATNTCTATTCTAACCACTCGAGTTTGTCAAACAATCAGATTACGAATCGAAAACAATAGAATTCGCGTTACATGTATTGAAAGTCTATAAAAGCTATTCAAGGAGATGAAATGACGAAAGGGAAAGAAAAAATAAAAATATATTTACACAAAAAATAAAATTTAAAAAAATGTACTCGAGTGTTCGCGGTTATTAGAGTAGAACGACAGTAATCCTTATGAGAACAGCTTTTGCTTACTCAACTTGCTTTCTCAGTAGTTTGTCTCTTTATTGATATATATGCTTTTTGTTTGAACTATAGAGAACAAGTGGAAGAAGAATGCCGGCAACCATTGGAAATCATGAAGTAAGTACATATCACACCAAAGAGTTCACCTTGGTTACTATAGCAATGGAATTGGTTGCCATGTTGATCCTAATGGTCCGTCATTCTTTCCAGGCCTGGTTTTGCTCGTATTAACCTACCATACTTCATGAGTGACGAGACCGTGCATTTCGTTCTCGAGGCAGTAGACATGGTAGCAACACATGGATGGAAGCTCCTACCACAGGTTGGTAGTCTAGACACTAGAGACCTTTAGCAAGACGTTCTTGCTAGGTGCCGCAAACTGGCCTCAAACTGCAGTTCGACGTCAGGCGTTTTCCGTCAAACTTCGACATTTAGCAAGGCGTCATAACGAAGTTGCCATATTGATTTTCATTGATGTTGAATGTTTTTCCGTGTTTACGGGCGTGCTTCTGGGCCTGATCCCTAACGGTTAGCGGTAAACTCACTGGGATTGGTGCGACTCCATGTCGCAAAGGATTGTGGAGGAAATTTTCAGTTCCAAATCAAAAAGCTATTGCACCGCGCCTCATTTTAAAAGTTTAAAAACTAGAGTAGTACAAAAGCGTTCTTTGATAAACTTTTAAGAGGGTTGTTTCCTCGAAATCGCAATAAATTAATATTATCAATTTAATTATTTTTATTTTTATTTTTGGTTTTCAGTACACTTTTGACCCAAAGACTGGATCATGGTGCCATCGCAATCATTCCGAAGAGCCTTCGTTTAGTCTCCATGACATCACATATGATGACGATGGCATGCACGTGACCCATAAGGCGTCGCCTCCTTACGCCCTTCCCATCTATACTTTTGAGGTATAGAAATATTTATTTATATATCTTTTATTTTTTATCACGCAATGTTTTAACTTTTTTATGTTTTTGTTTGTTTGTTTGTTCAAAAACAGACAATTGCAAAAGAAGCAAGCAAAACATTTGAAGAAGCGGCTGAAATAAACAACGTAAGATACTTTTATTTCTACAAACAGTATATTTTTAATAGTATACGTTAATATTTTGAGCCTGACAAAGCGACTTGTCTTTCTTTGGAAGAGACAGAAAGGGAAATTACATTTCTGTTTTAAAACTATCCTTTTTTTTATATTTTCAGGAAATTTCGACTGTCGATGATGAAGTAATTCATTTCTCTGATAATGACAAAGAAAAGCTTCTCTGGTTTCTCCAACCACAAGAAGCCCAGATCTTTCTGGCCACAGAATCTTTGAAATATAAACCGTTTAAAAGAACAAAATTGCCATTCAAACCAAGAAAACTCACTAGAAATTATTCAAAATCGGAACTGAAGAAACGGCGAACTTTGTTGAGGAGTATGTCTGAAACTATTCCTGAAGACGAGGACAGTAAGTAATCCATCCCTCCCTATCTCCATCAAACCCACCATCCGTCTGTCCGTCCGTCCGTCCCTGCCACCACCCATTCATCCATCCACCCACCCATCCACCCATCAACCCACCCACCCATCCATCCAACCATCCACCCACCTAACTATCCACTCATCCATCTCTTTCTTCATCCACCCATTCATCCATCCATCCATCTCTTTCTTCATCCATCCATCAACTTATCCACCCATCCATCTCTTTCTTCATCCACCCATTCATTAACCAATCCATCAGCCCATCGACCCATCCACTCGCCTATCCATCCAATTATAATTTATGCATTCATTTCTTATAATTTCTTGTGTTGTACCTGTTAAGATCAAGATAAAAAAGTTGCCAAAGTTGACAAGGTTGACGGAACCACCTATGATGTCAAACCGGATTTAAAAATCCAAGATGGCCACACTACACACCAACCTTTCAAGGACAACAAAGTAAAGAAGAAAAAATCCTTCTCAAAATTTGATAAAAAGAAGCAGTCAATTGAAATAATCGATGACTCAGATGTGTTCGAAGATCCTCATAAAGAACAAAAGCACTCCAAGCGAGACTGCGTCGTTCAGTAACTTATAAATTTGAATAATTGAATTTCTGGGGCTTCTGTGGTGAAAAGGGAAGTAAGGGACTGTGACGAGCGTTGATTGACAGCTCAACCGAGTCCCATTTTTCCTCTTCTCATCAACACAGGGATTCCACCAAAATTGTATGGTATAATATTTGTTTATTAATGTCTGCACATATCTTTTTATGTTAAAATATTAACCGGATTTGGTAGATAATCGATGAGTTATGAGTTACTGTGTTCACTTACACTGTGAATATAATTTTCAAGATTAGATAGACTATTTTTAAAAATTGAAAAATAATTAAAATCTTCTACCTTAAAATTACTTTATTAGTGAGTTACTGCGCATGATTAAATGGACATGTAATGACTTTGTGGAAAAAAGCGTACTCGATAGCAAAAGGGTTTTTTGTGGGGAGGGGTGGGGTGGAATGCGYAATAGTCCCACTCCCTCAAGCTGCCTCCACTATAAATAGTTCGATGGATAGTACAGAATCAAGATCATTTATAGTTATTAAGTCCAAATGAAGTTTGCAAAACAATCATATTAATTGTTAGCCTCGAGTTTTGGCGGCGCGAAGTGAGTGCCAGTAGATTTATAGAGCTGTCACGTGACTTGCAACAGGTATCTAAGTCAACTTAACTACGTATTTGCGCCATAAAACTGTATTATTAAAATAGAAATGATGTCATATACGGCTCACTTGGCAAAACAGATCTAAAATGTAAGAGTTTAAAAACAGTTTCAATAAATTAATTTACTCTAGCGTTCAGCAGTCTTTAGGGATGAGGGCAAACAATCGTCATCTCACGGTGCCCGATTTAGGGGGGAGGGGTGGTGTTACCCGATACCCACCATGCACCTCTGGGGGTGAAATCTTAGATTTTGTCCCCAAATATCTCCAAAACTGAAAACCAAATCTCAGAAATGAATGGACTGTCTGTCTGCATGTATGCTAAAAAACATATTTGTGTATAGAAATTGCCACTACATACCCCCAGTATCAAGCACGGAGCAGGTCTCTGAGGGGAGAGGGGGTATGTACAGGTACCCACCACTTTGACTCATAAAATCGGGTCCCTATTTTGGACTATTGTTTTGACCTCGCCCCTTATGTACTTGTCGAAGAGGGGTAATTTAGTTTGAATTGCAACCATTCTAATAACGGTATGACTTGGTTGGTTCATCTGTCATTTCACGCCTACTATTCACGGTATTTAAACATTCGCTAATTGCGAATAATATTTTTACTGGTTCCCTAAACCAATCGGAAAGCGAGAAAATTCAGTATCCAATTGCCCTATTTCACTCTGACGTCACTGTTTGTTTATGTGGGGAATAGAATCGCCAAATCCAATAGAAAATTCAACAAAATTTGCACTTAGCGAAACAGTTTAATTTAAAATGGCCTGGTTTTCAGATGTAATATGTGTTAATATGTACTAAAAAATATTCTGAGCGTTTGCTTGCTATTCTACTTCTCTTTGTGGATTGATCGAGTTTTAGAACAATTTTCGGTGAATTTGCGTTGATTTGACCCCCTCCAACGACCATGAACCTTTGCGTTTAAACAATAGATTGTTTTGATGTGACGTCATAGTGAATTAGGGCAATTACCCAATCAGTGTGCTCTGAAGTAACAGTCTGAAACCCAAAGGACGCCCACAGTCATGAAAAAAATAATGTTTGCAGATTACATGTTACACTGAAAGATATGTACCAGGAGTTAAGCTGCGCATTTGCCGATAGCACTCGCCAAGGGCGCCCCTCAATATCAAAATACAACTTCAAGATTTTTTCTGACATTATTTATTTGCATGCTTTCCGTTGTATACATTTGACCCTCGGTATGTTTCCCAATATATTACTGAATACATGTGTTTCATTTCTTAGTAATATTGATTAACTCATATCAATGTGCAATATTAGGCATTTAAAGCTATAGTGTGTTTTGTTTATAGATTTTGATATAGTTTTACGTAATGTTACGTAGTGTAGTTCTAAGATGCTGAAAAGGGAAAACGTATCCGTATTTTGATAGTTTCCTAATTAAATTTCTTTTTCTTCTTTCTTTCCTTCCTTCCTTTCTTCCTAGTTTTAATTCTTTTCTTTCTTTCTTTCATTTCTTTTCCTTTCCTCCTTTGTTCCCTTTTTTCCTACTTTCTTTCTTCATCTCTTTCATTCCTTCCATTTTTCTTTCTTTGTTCTCGATTTCTTTATTTTCTTTAGTCTTTAGTTTTTCTAGCTCTATTTTCTTTTTTCATTTCCGTCCTATTCTTCTTTCCAATTTCTTTCCATTCCTTATCCGATCTCACTCACTTTGTCATTCATCCTCTCTTCTCTCTTCTCTCTTCTCTCTTCTCTCTTCTCTCTTCTCTCTTCTCTCTTCAACCCCACTTGATTCCTGAGCACATTTTCCAAGATCAAGAAACTCTCACGCTCTGTGTCGAAGTCTTCCTGACCAAGCTAACAAGACCACGTCTAAAGTCCTTACAGAAACCATAGTACATAAGAGCATTCAAAGCCGGATTAATATACGAAGTAACAACCACTGCCTTCGTAATAATAACAATCTTATAACGCATTATAAGATCTTTTGTCTGAAAGAAACTTAAATAAAGATATAAAACAGTATATGGAAGCCAGAGAATAATAAAACTGATAACAATCGCGAATAGGAGTTTCAGAAGATGGCGTCGTTTACGAAAGGCTTCTTGTGTTTGATCAGTGACTTGGAAAATCCCAGCTTTTCGGATGGAAAAGATGATTTTTACGTTGGCTGTGAGGATTATTAGGAAAGGTACTATGAGTAGACTTATCGCGAGGACGATGGTGTGAATCTTTTCGTGTCCTGTCGTACACAAAGCAATGGGGAAAGAAACTCCAACAGCCAACAACCAGACAGCAATCAATGTCAAGATTTTTATCTTCTTTTTCAGAGAGGGATTTCGGGCAGCTGCAAACGGTAAACAAATTACGTGCCAGCGTTCGACACTTAAAACTGAAAGAGAGAAAACCGCTACGGCGTAGGATACAAAACGGGCGGCTGTTAATGGCTTGAAGACTGAGCAACGAATGGCTTGCTGTTGATTGGCAGAAAGAACCATTGACAAAGTCTCACCAGCGATGTTCACCAACGCATACAGTACATCAGCAATGGCAATATTCAAGAGAAAAATGTGCGCGACTCCACGGAACTTGGGATCTTTGAAAATCGTTAAAATAAWCAGTGAATTCCCCAGTAATGCAACGGCGAGAAGACAATAGGACAGGACGGTGAAAATTGGTGTCAGAGTCGTGTAGAGCTCAACAAGGTCGAATAGTTCAGCGGGTAGTTCAGGATACGCAGGAACGTTACATCGTACAATACCACTGATGTTTTTACAACTTGATGGGATTGAAGAGGAGTTGTTCATCTTGAATCCCGGCAACTGAATTGGCTTAATGACTTCCCCAAGAACTCTTTTATGAATGCTCTCACTTTGTACAAACTGAACCTCTTATGTACTGTAGTCTAATATTTTAATTTTTAATTGACTTTCTTTGAACTTTAAAACGTTTTCACGCCTTCGTTGCTAAAACAAGAAAAGCAAATCAAACATTAGTCGACAAAATCCAAAAGCTGTGTTAAATATTCGCAAACAATTGAATGTTTCAAATTATTTCCGCCAATGGCTTCATATCCAGCTTCTTAACTGTTTTGTGTCTCTCTGTTTTAAAGCGAGGGATTACCATATGATCCTGTAGTTTCGAAAATTGCCAATAAAAACCTTGGCGTGTCGTTAATTCAGGGCATTGTTTTCAAAACATGAAAAACACATACCTTCTCAAAATTTCATTCAAAACACTCAACAGTAAAATTGGTTCCCAAAGTCTTTTTGTTCAGTTTCCAAAACAAAAACAGAAATTGCATTTAACTTTCATATCTTGTATCCAATCRACTCTAAATACACCTCAAGCCCACTTCAATTTTAAATATTGTTTTTTCGTTTTGTGGGCACATGCGGCTTAAATATTCAATCCAAGAAATTGAGTTTTTTCGTTTTTAATTTTTTTCGTTTTTAATTTTCTTGGCTACATTTATTTGGTGTGAAAAACATATTGACACAAATTTCGTCAGAGATTGTTTACACTTCGTTTTACCGCGCTATTAAGATAAACTTATTACAAATGGGGATTCTCAGTGTATCTATTATGTTATCTCATCGCGCACTATTTTTAACAGCAGCTGTATAGCGGCACTAAGGGTAGGGCTGGATTAAGTTTAGTGCGCACAAACATTTGATCCAATAAGAACATAAGTACATAAAATTCACACTTTTCACTTTAAGGTTAAAACTCAAAGCGATTTTAGATCTCATTTTGTAATCTCTCTTGCGGAAATTATTATTGATTTATGCGCGAAGCAAAAATATGTGAAAATGCTATGCGAAAATGCCTAACATAACTCTACAAGGGTACAGAATAGATGTGCACATACTTTTTCTATTGCATGAATACACTGATGTACGTTACTTTTGGGCCGTTTTGGTCGACAAAGAATGCGCCAAGGTCGTCAGTGCATAGGCTGTAGTTCCAAACTTTCACGACACATAGTGCTCACAATAATTGAGATCTCCTTCAAGAGCGTTACCAATTCTTATTTATTTCTTAAGAGCAGAAAATCGTGTACTCTAAAAAGATTATCTTCTCTGAAAAGTGAATCCGCAAATATAAGATCGACAACATAGATATTTAATAATAAGAACATCTGTCACTCATAATTCCCAATTTTCATACTTTTTCAATATTTCCATTTCTTTTATGCAAAGCCGCTCCTTTGACTGTGAGTTCTGATTTCTACATTTCTTTTTAAGAGTGGAGATAACAAAACGTCGTCACGACAAACAACATTGAGTTAAAAATTAAGGAAAAACGATTCTAATAATTTCCTTTACAGACTCTTTTCGTCCGGCATAAAAGATTGGTTCTTTATGCTGAAAATAAACGAGCTTTTTCAATCATTTCATTTTTTAGCGTAACACATGTCATCTTCTCTTTTTTTTATTTAGTCAGAGCCGGGAGCACAAGAGATCATGCAAAACAAATACATTTAGTAAACAATTTAGGAAAAACGATCGATTCTAATAATATTATTTTCTGCAATATCATCGATTAATACGTTTACTGGTAATGCCGAAAATTAACAACCTTTTTCATTATATTTCGCAAAAAAATGTCATTATTAATGCATACTGATAGCTAACAAAAGTTGGAACGAAATTCATTCACTGATATGCCTGATATTGCGATGCTAGGCCGCTAATTGGCTCTACAGCAAGATATTTCAGTCTCAGCAAAATCACTATGCATTCTGACCATTTTATCTACACTCGCGATTTCGTAATGTTTGACTCTTGATCTCACTTGAATATGTTTAAAGACCTCATGATCGTGATATACCCTAATGAGGTTTACCATTGCACTTCAGGGTGCACGGCGAAAAGCTCATACCAGGTTTTACAACCCATTTGCAGAAAAAAGCAGCCGATAGATTGAAATAAAAGTTGATTTTTGTGGAGGTAGGAGAAACTGGATAGCGTAACCTCGAAGCACAAGACAGGGCAACCAACAAACAACTCTATACTCACATACGACATCAAGCCAAGGAATCGAAACCCTGGTCACCTTAGTATATAACTTGAAGGAAAAATGCGTGCAGTATTGTCCCTTACCTTTATGACTGAGTATATATGTATCTTTTAGCAGCAAAGCTAAATAAACTGATGATGACCGTTCTCCAGTCAGTCACCGCTGGCAAAGCCTTCAGCTCGCCTTTTATTTGCTTGGCATTTTCACGATAATAAAGCTAGATTGTCTTCCTAAGGTTTTGTAATTGAATTCAATTATTCGCTCCTTTGGAGGTTTTTTTCATTAGCTTGGTCCTCTCAATCTATGGGACGTCTTTAATTCTATCTTTCGATTTCAATATTTCAACAAGTATGGCGGTTCCCTTGACTACGTCACAGAAAATAAATGAAATACTATATTTGTTCTTTAAAAACAAATAATTTTTCTTAAAAATAATAAGCAAATATGTCATACAAGCTATTAAATCATCAAAGAGAATATTCACAATCTAATGGACCAAATTAAGTGTTATTAGAGTTTTTGAAATGGCTCATTTTAAGTAGTTGGATTCTTGAGAAGGAATCGATCTCTCTTTTTGAGGTCTTTTATATTTGGCCGCAATTCCATGCCTTGAAATAAATAAAAATCGTATCTGAAGTGGAAGGAAAGCAGATGAATTAAGAATAGAATTTTATAGTTCTCAGAAATGTCTTTTTACGCGGAGTATAAGCCGTGCTCTAAAATTTAACCGCAGGCAAAATTTCAACTGGGTGAAATTAAAAGTGGCTTTTTAAAATTTTATTAAACGTACGTCACTTCTGAACCTTGAATTAAATACGATATGACGATAATTAAACTTGTCGAACGAGTATAATCCCGTAATTGTCGCGGATCCACAAAGGATTAAGGAATAAAATAATGAAAGAAATAAAAGGAAGAATTAAAAAAAAAAATTCAAAATAATGAATTCATTGAAGAAAAGATCCCCGCTGACCAGTATTGATCATGAGCCTGCTGCATCACATCGAGGCTGAGCGTGGTTCAATCTTCTTGTCAACTGGATTCTTCAAGTTTATCTCGTAATTCTTGCAAATTTTTATCTAAATTACTTAACCAACATTCTTATTTATACTCTGAAATCCTTAGAATAACGCCATGGAAGGAGTTGAGGAGCTTTACCGGTTGTTTGGAGTGTTAGCTGATGCAAAAGATAATATAAATGAGGTGAGTGAAATCCAAAATGGCGGCTCAAAACATCATGTGAAGTCTTTTGATATTAAACTTATAAATCATTAAGGTGTTTTGTAATTAACTTTTTGGATCATAGATCATGAATTATAGCTGAAGGATTAGTATGTTAAGTTTATATGTTGGGAAGAAATAGCGTAGACTGAAAAACTTGGACGTTTTTGCTCAACGTTTGGACTGAAATGAAACGAATACTTCGAATGGAAGTTAGTTCAACTTAGAACCAACGTAAAAACCCAGATTTAATTTCATGATTTTTGAAGTTTTCATTCCCATAAATACTCAGTTTACGAATAGATATCTAGTTGTAAAACTTTTTGCTACCTGAAATAATGTAAAAATGTGAAATCCCACGCTCTTTGTTGATTTTCAAAACTGATTTCACCAATTACAGACATTCTCAATATAACACCACGAAATCATGCACTTTTCCATCTCAATAAAGTATGTTTTGGTGGACATCAATCAGGTGTTTCCATCACATGCATATTGAACGCTTTGAAATCTTTGTGCTTTCTGACGCTATCATGGAAACACGTATAGTAGCATGCATAGCTAAGTAGGTTAGTGCATGGCTTTCAGAGGGGAGGCTGTTATCTCAGGCTCAGCGATGTTGGTGAACAGAGCTTCTTGGCTCAGGCATAATGTTTTTCCATTTCAGACCATGTGTCATTCCCTTGATAAAGATATTATTTTATTGAGGTGTGTTATTCATGTGTCTTCTCATGTGCAACCAATAAACAAAGAAATAATACTCTAGGGAATGACACGTGGTCTTGAGAATGAGATTATTTTATTGAGGTGTATTATTCATGTGTCTTCTCATGTGCAACTGTTAAACAAAGAAATGATTCTCTATGTAATGACATGTGGTCTCAAATGAGAAAACATTATGCTCGAGTGCTCCCAAGCCAAGGAGGTCTATATTAGCCTATATTCAATTTGGTAAATAATTATTAACAATATACTTCAAAATTATTGTTGAAATGCAATCGATAGTAAAGAATCTCAATTTTCCTCTCATCCTCTTTTCTTTATTTTTAGCACGAGGATTCCTATGCTTCAATTCTAAACTTTGTCAAGGGGACACCTGGAGAGAAACGCTTAGCTTCAACATTTATTACAAGATTTTTTAAGAATTTTCCAAAACTACAGGACCAAGCTATTGATGCTTTGTTGGACTTGTGCGAAGATGAAGATATAGCCGTAAGTTTTAAGAAAAGGCTTTGCATGTATAATACAGTTATAATATTATTAAGTTAAATATTAAACTGCCACCCAGTTGGCTCCTTTGGTTTGGTCTCTTGTTCGCAAGGTCATATTGGCTTGACCTACACTCAAGGTCTTAATATACATGAGTAGAAAGTGCTGCTTTTGCTATAAAAATATCTGTCAATGGTTAGATCTTTGTCGTAGCTGGATCACCACATATTATGGCAGTCCTGTCTTTTTCAAAGATGTTAGCAAGTTTGTAATATTACTCTCAACTGTCATGTGTCATCCACTCCAATCCACTCCACTCCATCCAAGTCAATTATTATTAAGTGGTCAGGCCAAACAAAAAAATAAGTGTGTTTCCTGTTGCATGAGAAAAATAATTGGGGTCAATAGGTCAGGTTTTTTTTACTAATACAACAGTGGAAAGGAGCTTACTGGGAACCCTGTGGTGCATTTGGGAGTGAAAACAATATTAGGGTCGGCAAAATCCGGCAAGAAAATTAGGGTCGGTCAAGCAAGAGGAAACACACTTATTTTTTTGTTTGGCCTTAGACCTTTGCTGTTGCTGAATAAAAATGTAAAATGGAGGGCAACAAGCTTATATCAGTTGCTGCTGCCATGTGTCATCCTCGACGACTTTAGGTAAAGTCTCTTTTTAAATTTTAAGATACGAAAGCAGACAATAAAGGATTTCCCCAAGCTATGTCAAGATGAAATTGAACATTTACCAAGGATTGCCGATGTTCTGACTCAGCTCCTTCAAGCAGGTATGTATTTAGAAACCAAAGTATAACCAACAAAAACCAAGGGTGGTTTCCAGTGGAAGATTGATCCCTTTTTGCAACAGGTTCAATAGACCTTTCCTGAATCCGCTTGGGTGACCATGAAACAATGGTTTGAAGTCGAGACTGAACTTGATCCTTTATTCATCAAATTCAACCTCGGCTTCAAACCATTGTTTCGTGATCAGTCAAGCGAATTTGGGAGAGGCTGTATATTGACTACTCCGTACCTCCAAGATTTGTCCTCACATTTTTGATAATATTTTTTAATTTTTTCTTCTTCTGTAGATGATGTCACTGAGTTAACTACTGTCAGGAATTCTTTACTATCTTTATTTAAAATGGATGCCAAAGGTAATAATAATAAATAATCATCATTGATAATGACGATGATAGGTAATGATGGTGATGATAAGATGATGATGAATGGTGATGATGGATGAAGATAGTGATGAAAAAAAATTTTTGCTGCCGTCAATCAAAAAAAATCAGTCAGTACCTTTTATGTTCTTGACTGGCAGCAGTGAAAAACCCATTTCACAACAAGCGGTTCAAATGTTTGAGTTTGCAGAATATGGAAAATGGCAAAAAAACTAATGATTAATTTACAGTGCGAATCAAAAACCGTGGGCACCTAGAAATATTCTAGGAATGTTCTATTCTTCTTTGGCCAATCAGAATTGACTTTCTAACCACAAGATAACGGAAAGATAACAATAACGCTTCTGATTGGATATTGAACATTCTTGAAATATTTCTAGGTGCCTATGGTTTTTCAATTCGCACTGTAAGAATCTAGACAACTGTATCTGATCACGATATTTCCATCACCAAGGTACAATCGGAGGCATATTCTCACAGATACTTAGTGGAGAAGAACATGTAAGGGACAAAGCAATCAAGTTTCTTAGCTCGACCGTGACACAATATGGCAAACAGTATCTCCACCCTAAAGAAGACACAGAAAGATACATTGTTGATGAAATCAAAAAAGTGAGTGAAAGATTTACATGGAGAATCAATAGACCTTTCCCGAATTCGCTTGACTGACCATGAAACAATGGTTTGAATTCGAGATTCTTTTATTCATCAAGGTCAACCTCGACTTGAAATCATTGTTTCTTGACCAGTCAAGCAAATTTGGGATAGGTCTATTGCTGTCGTTTGGAGATATTATGAGCTGAAATTCACTACTCTTAAAAATGCCATAATTTCTAGAATGTTTGACTTAGCATTGAATCTGGAAATTGCTTGTTTTCTTATTCTAATACTTTGCTTTTGTTTCTTATTTCAAAAGTGAGGCTTAGCTTTCACATTCTAAAAATTATGAATTCTAAGAATTTTTTAGGATTGAGATGTTGGTGGAATCAAGAATTCATATTTTTATTACATAATTACCAATGAAATATCTATTTTTCTCCTTTTCGAAAAATTGATATCTTCACACGTGAAAATAACATGTTATTTTCACGTGTGAAAATAACACCATTGCGATRRCTATTCAAAAATACACGGAAAGAATTGCCTGAAAAAGCCAAAACATACTTCATTGATAATTATATAATAAACAGAATATTACATGGGCGCTTGGAGATACGAAATTTTTCTTCTCGTCTTGAAAATCTCTCACTTGTTCGCTGCGCTCACTCGTGAGAGATCTTTTCAACACTCAAAGATAAATTTCGTATCTTCGTGCGCCCATGTAATATCCTCTATATATTATATTCCCGCCAAGGGCATTTGATATTTTTCTCTCATTCTCTCTATATTTATATTGAAATCGAGTTAGAAATATTTGCATCAATTTTTCCAAATTAGTTTGGACAGAAAAGAATATTTTTTCATTTCAGATCATGTGTCAATTCCCTAGGGTATTTACTAGTGGAATGGTATATTGTCTGAAAATAGATCTTTAGCATTTATACCCAAATAAAGTGGTCCAGTGTTATAGACAATATTTCATCTTGTTCTTTTTATTTTTATTTAGGCTTTTTCTGATGTCAATGGTGAAGAATTCACAATATTCATGTCCATCTTGTCAAAACTTAAAATCATGTCTGGAGCTCACCAAGAACTTGCCGACATTGTTACAGAACAAGCTGAACTAAACCAGCCATTCCAGGTTAAGAGTCATCATTTTTACTACCTTCTATCTCCCCCCCC